AAAAAAAAAAAAAACATAGCGTTTCCTTTTTGTAACAAAAGAATAAGAAAACGGGTCCCCCCAGACAAAACTGAACAACGCTAGCGGACGCAAGCGCGAGAAGGACGGAACGAGCCAATTATAAGCTAGGAATGATGTATAGGAGACACGCAGAAGAAGTAAATCATTAGCAACGAGAAGCGCGCGATTCGAGGAGAGTAACATGAGAAGTGCATGAAAGAGCGACGTAATTGCACCGGGGAGTAACGGTGCCCCGTAGCGCGTATATGTGCCGCTTATTTGCAAAGATTTCGCAACGACTTAATTACGCGTCTTCCGCCTCATTTCTACCCGGGGTCTTGTTGCCGCGGTCTTGGTCCCCTCGGCTCGGTGAATGCGTGCGAAAACCGTTTCCTCCGCGCTCTCGTCTCAGTTCCTACATTACAAAATTAATATGCACCAGTCTTGTCTCGTTACGCGAGTCAAAACGCAAGCAGTTTCGCAACCCGTTCTAAGAATAACAGTAGGAAATCGACTGAGTATTCTGTCTCTCGAAAAACGCTTCATCATCTGGGATCAACTATACTGTCATGTCGCAACGAGCACTTTAGGCACTTGGAAAATCGCTCTATCGGCGATGCAATTAACTGCTCATTTACCGTTCGATTACGCCCGCAAACAGGTTTCACCGCACGCAGGACACGTGCAACGCTGCCCCCGTGGAAAATAATTAGCTGAAGAGCGCTTTCGTACCGAATGCACTCCGAGTCACCGTGGAATTCATTTCTGACAGAAGAAGCACTTGATGTGAAGAACACGGCGAAGAAAGAGAACAACGAAGGAATTTATTGAGGAGACGAGGAAGGAAAGGAATGGTGGATTCATTATGGATTCATTAGTTTGATCCATTCCTGAAGAAGAAGCAAACACCTGATGATGAGATGAGGAAAAATGTTGTAGAATCGTTGGAACATTTACTGTCTTGATCTTAGATTGACTCGAGACTTAGGTAGTTGAATAGTTTAATAGCAATACCTTATTCAATTGGAAATAATTTACACAAGACACAAGAGGCAAGGAACAGCTATTTGAACTGCTTTTCTTTGATGAAAAAAGTGTAGAATAGATTTCTCTCTTTTTTTACAAACTTCTTGTAAATGAATTTTATCATAGAAACAGGTGTTTCTTCCATATTAAGGAAAGAAAAAAAAGAGATAGAGAAATACAATGAAACATTGTAAAAGATTCCTATCTTTTTTTATGAACTTACTGTAAATGAATTTTATCATGGAAACAGGTGTTTCTTCCATACTAATTGTAAGACTAAGTTCCTCCTGGAACAGAGCCAATCAAAAAGATGAAGAAACAACAAGGAAACTGCCGGGGCTGTTGCGAGATAATTCACAATCTCATGAAGAATGTTAAGCAGCCTTCTCTCACCCGGCGTTGTCGCTCATTTAAATTTACCAACTGAAGAAAAAGCTGACTTACACCATTGTCTCAGAGGAGTTATTGTTTAACGTTCATTGTCACAGCCAAAATGATGCAAGTCCTTTTTAAATCTCGAATCAATGATTGCAATTACAATGTAAATTGCATAAAACACACAGCTGGAAGTTGACTTAACAAGAGGAAGAAGAGGAAGAAGAAGAAGAAGAAGCAGAATGTAACAGAAATCCAACAGACAATTGGTTTGTTCTTATTAGAACAGGAACAGTCTCGCCAATAGCTTTCCTCATCTCAATAACAGTTACCACACCGACTCATCCTCTTACAAAATAAAGGATATGAAGAAATAGTCAACTGGAGCATATGAAAACTTTCACATATGCGTATCATACGTTGACACGATTGCTAACAATGAAAATTCATTGACAACCATAAATCGATCGACGAGGCTCCCGCATCAGAGATTCCAGCTTGCTGTACATGAAAGTCTTGACAAAACTTGAGGAAGAGAGATTTCGAACGTCTAACGTGCAATGTCTTCTGAACACAGACAGAAATGAAATTATCTGGAAAAAGGAAGAAAGAGAAGATGTAGATGTAACATATCTCAAAGAATAGAAGAACTGTCGTATCTGTGGAACAAACAATAACTTCTAATTTGATTAGTCGCACAATTACTGCACTTTCCATCGCCGTTAATTAAATCAACTAATTATGATGTAATTTGGGATCAAATTATTGTCAGCAAAGTTTACTGAAACTTCAGTACACCGAGTATACTTCTTTTCAGATGAATCTTCTGACTGTTTGGTGATGTATAAATTGCGCTACAATCTACGTAGACGAGTTTCAATTCATCATTTTTGTTGCATTTCCTCATGGACTAAGATCATCGAACTTGATTTCAGCTAGACTGTGATCGTTCTCTAACGATTCTTAACGCCTCGAGGGGACTGTGTATCAATAAATCAATTACGCAGCGTGATTCATCTTTCTTGATTAATCGCAGGGTTCTCGAAGATCGCGTGGCATATTCGCGGTAATTTGTTAACACATTTGCCTCACTCTGTAGAGGGAGAGAATTGAGATTTATGAGCCACATGGGCTCACAGGGGAGCTCGATTGGGAGACAGTAATTAATCATATTAATTAGACGAACCCCACTGGATTGTTTCTTAATTACATTAAACGCTTGCGACATTAATTAGTTAAATTAATTTCCAGTTAATTTTTACAAAGCTTGTGCTAGAAATAAAAATCAATCCTCGCTGTTCAAATTTAAAAACGAGAAAGTTTTCTAAGCTTTTAAGAAAAGCACTCCGTGATTTCAACTTATAAAATTCAACTCGAAGCTTTCCAAAATGTCTTATCATTCTTGTCTATGAGATACATACCTGAAGATAAAACATGTTGTGAAATGAACCGAAGGCCAGGAATTACTGAACTTAATTCACGCACCGCTTTTTTTCTCGAAAAGAACACTGCGGAAAGACGTAGAAGATCAGACCATTATTTTAGAAAACCACCATGGATTTTTAATAGATTTTCTCGTGGAAGGGTATCTCTCTATGCAATCGACTTGAAGAGACAACAAGAAAACAGAATTTCAATACACTATGTAAATATCGCTTCACAGACACAAAAATATATTTAATTTAAAGAACGTAGCAGTGAAAGACAGAACTCGACACAGATTGATTAAAAAAAAAAAAAAAAAATTTCAAATGCATTGAATTTAGACTCTCCGGTTTTAAACTGACTAACTAATAATAAAAAGCTCCAAGTTCTAGGCCAGAAAATCGAATCTAAAATTTCAGATAATTTCCAACTTGGAGAATTCAGATAAAGAAAATTTTGTCCGTTACAATATCAAAGATATTTCCAATGCAAATTAGATGCTTCGCGTGCACTTTGGTACAAATTTTTCAACAAGTCTTGGAAACTGGAATTATCTTATCTTAAATTCTGGAAGGCTCTCGTTGGCCGATTGCAAGATGCCAAGAACGAACATAGGAGAGGAATACTGAGAATATCAAGCCATTGTGTCGACTCGAACGTCGTAAGTATAAAAGGGTAAAGAGATTATAGCTTCCATTGGATTCTAGTTTAGAATGGAGTCATAAATAACCGTGGTTTTCATGAAAACGCGCGCTTCTTAAAAGGGTTGTGAATAGACCTCGACGACATTTCACGGTAAACCACACCCTTCGTATTCATCACATGCGTGTGCACCACTCCCTGGTTGGGAATCGCGAACTTTTCGATTCGAAATTCTCGATACGTTTTCCCGCTGTATAGATCAAAGGAATGTACGTCTGTACACATTCTTCACTCGCAACAAGAATTACGTGTAAACTGTTAACCGCAATTTAGAGATCATAACGCGGAGGTAAACGACATATATAAAAAGAAAGAAAGAAAAAAAAAAACGAGATAGAAGAAAATCTTAAAAGAAACTCAACAGTTACTTTTTATAAAAATTCAAATACTTTGTTCGCGTTTATTTTTATACATCGGTGTCATAGAATGGATACTGTCGAATTTTATTTTTACACAGTAACTACACTGCCATCCGTGAAATCCTCATTCAGCCACCAAACAAGAAAACTACCACCCCTGCAACTCTAACAGTCCTCAAAGAGCTCACAGAAGACGT